TTAATTTTTTCGATTTTTTTATGCGTAATTTTTTTTTTTTTTACTAAAAATGCACCGTCACTGTTGGGCGAATTTAGTCACGTTCACAAGCCAAATGATGGTAATTTATTGTTCGTCGTATTTACTTCGCTCTCGATTACTCTTCTTTCATCTACTCTGTATGAACACACGCACGCGACAATTCCGGTTTCGGATGAGCGCGTATAAATAGAGACCGAATCAATAAGACAACCCCTTTCTAACCATTCTCAAGCTCAACATTTGGCTTTTCTGTTTATTAATATAATTTGGCGACTCACTTAAAAATGTTAACTCACCATTTTTGTGCATAATTTCGTTAGATTTATTTTAAAAATTAGAGCAACAGATGTCATTTTTGTTATTAACATTCATCACAACAAATGTGGTTTGTACATTTATTGAGTTATTGAGACATCAGTTAGTGATCGGCAGACACCTATTGCATAGCAGCGGCGTCATACACACACGTTTTCATATATACATTTGAAATAAACTAAACTTGTGTATTTTCCTTTTCAATTCATTTGAAGCGTGTCTCTTCAATTCACAAATCTATCTACGTCATTTGCCTATTTCACCATGGCGATCAACAGCTGGCGGCGCATATGTTGTTGGATGTTTAAATATTAGTTGCTGAAACTGTACTTTTTGTAATTAGAATGAGCTGGAAGGAATAGTGACAGATATTACTACCAATACCCAGACATCGCATCAAACACCTTTAAGTAAATCGGACTGCATCCTGTAAAGGTTAGAATTCTCTATTTATTTTAGGCTGGAATGCCAACCGGACGTGTTCTTTCACAAGCAAAGGTTTTGTAAAAGAGGTGAATACCATTTCAGCCAACGCCGATAGGTTACAACAGGACTGCAGATTGGGAACAGATATTTACTCGGAAGATTCTTAAATCTCCCAGTTTTTGCGTATACCAAACCCAGCTAGAAATTGCTTATTCTTATGGAGGATATAACTTGGTGACCAATTCTCAGAGCATACTGAGCTTATGTAGAGATGGTTTCAGCCTGCTGAATGTCTGTGTAGCTTATCGGCTGAGCTATTTAAATATGGCGGCGAAGAGCTGACTATGTGTATGGTCGGAGGCATGACTAGAATGCACTGCCTGTCCGATGATTGGAATTTAAGTTTAATCCTTATAGGGATAACTCACACGCCAAGGTACAGGACTCCCTAGTGCCGCATATAAGGTTCTATAGAACAGACGACAGGATCTAGCCAGCGTAGCTGCTTTCTCTTCATTCACTGGACTATGTCAATACCATCATATAGTTCGTTCCATCGTCTGCGGTATTAGCCGTTGCCAATGCGCAAAGGTTTATGGTCTTTTCATTCTCTCAAAGACTCTTAGAGCCGATTCATCAGATGGTGTCATCGTTCACGCCCCTGTGACACATAGTAGGACCGGTATGATGAGTGACTTGTTAAGTTTGATTTGCGTTCGCCGAGAGAGGACTTTACTTTTCAATTGCCTACTTAGTCCAAAGTAGCACCCGCTGGCAAGAGTACTTCTGCGTTGGATTTTCAGGCTGATTTTGTTGTTGGTGTTTATACTGGTTCCAAGATAGACGAAGTTATCTACGACTTATCACTGTGACGTGGGAACCGAGTAGTGAATGCGACGACTGTTTGTTTGATGACAGGAAATATTTCGCCTTACCCTCATTCACTACCAGACCTATTCGCTTCGTTTCTTTAGCGAGTCTTGAGAAAGCTAAACTAACGGCACGGTTTTTGAGGCCAATAAAGTCGATATCATCGGCGTGCGCCAGCAGCTGTACACTCTTATAGAAGATTGGTGTAATGCTTGATAAAAAATCTTAGTTGAAGGGATCATATTGAAAGCAGAAAGGGTTTGCGTCAAAATGACGGATACAGACTCAAGAGGTGCATTGGCTTTACATAAGTCTCTTAAGAGCCAAACATTGCATTGGTATGGAAGGTGACATTAAGGAAGAAGTGCAGCATTAAGCCTCCTTGATATTAGAAAAATGAATGCATTAGTGATTTATAAAGCAGCGCTAATAGGTCGACAACTAATAGCGAAGATATCCATATATTATACATGCTGATGGCGCTTAACGCGAGGCTGGCATTGGATTAAAGTCCTAACTGTTCCAGTATCGAAAATAGCTTCATACCTCTGAAGGTACCAATAGGCGCAATCAACAGATTATAACAACAAATTGAGTCCCAGGTCAGAATGATATAGAAGGCAAAGAAGGACCGGACGCGCTGGATTAGGCTGGTGCTCTTGGCGAAGCTTTCACCATCAACTTCCGCAATCCCTTCCATCAAATGCTGTCTTAAGCAGTGGTTCTTTGATGAGCTTCGGTGGAGTGTCGAAATTACAGACCTACAAAATTTTTACTTTCAAAAGGGACATTTTCACTGGGATATTGAGTTCAAAAACCAAGCGCCTATGGAAATGAGCAAGCAGTGGTGTACGAAAAAAAAGTTATATTTAAAAAATCAAGCGAAATGTGCGCTTACGACTGGGTACGCGGGAGAGCATAATGACGCTAACCCATTGGTTTAAGTACAGTGCCTTACGGTCAGTTGCTCAAACTTAATATAGACAATTTTCGGTTCAATATGAAAAACCGGTTGTGTGAGGGCTCTATGAAATAGTCTTCCGATTTGTATGTACATGGTGCAGAAGACAAAATTTTGTGCTCTAAAAACTATTTCCAACGGATTTTTGACCTAGAACCTCATATGTAAACTAATTGCTTTTATGGAACTATTTACGGGAGTCTTTCGGCAATCATTTCTATTAAAGTAGGCTAAAATCATGGAATTGTAGCGCCTTGTAATTGTTCGCCTGGGACCGAACTTATTTTGTAGTAAAATTTTCATATTAATAATACCACTCTAAGCGCTAGCTGATACTCAGTTCTGATTTTCATGTAGTTGGCAACGCATCTGTCATTTAATTGTTCGGCTAGCGCCATTATGAGTCTGTATTAAAAGTGAAAAATGCAAAAGAAAAAGCTTTTTTCTAAAACGATTCGTGATTTATGAGCGAATGCATTGCTAAAAGTGAGAATATCGAGAACACATACAATAATAAACTAGTGCTTGCTTTCAGAATGTGAATATATTAAAGAGAAAGCGACGTGCGCTGATAAGGGGAGGTGAGTAAAGCACTTAAAAACTTTGCTGAGTATATTACCGGGAACTATTTTTTAAGATCAATACTTTTAATATATTTGATTGTTTTATAAGCGCACATTTACACAAATATATATGCGTTGCCTTTTTTCATAATTGAGCGAGATACTCGTTGTTTTATATGGAACCGCATGGCGTCAGCCAACGTGCACAAAATCATAACATATAAGGGACTATAAAATTTACAGAGACCTTTATGTCATAGTCTTTCCATCTGGGCAGTCCCGATAAATGATCAATGTAGTATGAAATCAAGGCTGAATCCTTGCAATAAATTTCATGTTACTCAAAAAATTTCAAGCGGTGCGCATGAAACTTTCGAAAATGATATCTTTAAAGCTGTTTTAAAATAAATTTTAATACGTTTTTACTCTAAAATAAATGCTGTCGCTAATATTAAATCTTTCATATTTCGTTAGGTTACAAATTTAAAAATAACATAATAAAATTTCAAATCGATATCTCAAATAGTTTTTGAGTTATAGCAATTTAAAGAGCAGCCGCTCGGCAGCTAGAGAGTCTCATTAGATACGAGTGAAAACGATCATTTTTATCTTTAAACGCGTTTTTCTCGAAACAGCATTTTCCGCATTCGCTGCAGTGATTACTCAAAAACAAATGATCCGATTACTATCGATTTTTTTTTCACATGTTCTATATATAGTTCTCCGCACAATAACCTATCGATTTTTGATCTGATCAAAAAATCGAATTTCGACAGGCCAAAAACGACCAAACTTTTGGGTAAAATTCGACTATTTCTTTTAAAACGCAGCCATTTTAAATTTTTGATTGTTTTTTTTTTTTATCGTAGGCTATAGTACAGACAACATTATTTAATCGATAATGTTTTTTTTAGATTTCATTAACGGAGAAGGAATCACTGCAGCAGTGAAGGACCTTTTTTCGCGCCGTTGGGGATCGACTAATTAAATATTTAATTTTTTTCTTTAGAAATTTCACTGTATATTCTTGAAACATGTGCAAATATGTTCTTAAAATTTTGAAATAATTGATGAAGTATTTTTTTTAATAAAAATTCCCAAAAATCTCCTTTTTTTAGGTCATTACACTAGGTGTGCCCCTTAACATCATAGCATGTACCGACTTTAACAATAACGTTAGGGAGAAGTTTGTGCAGTTTCAACATCAACATTTTCATTTAGTTTTGAGAAAATGCCGTGGGAATTGAACAAATTCATTTTGGTAAATTTTACAGTTTTTAATATTAACAAAACGAATGACATCGTTTTGCTTCTTTGGCGTACGATGTAAATACTTCTGAGTATCAAGTTTGGTTGAAATATCTCAAAAACTGAGAAACTACTTTATATTTAAACATTCGGACAGACATCTGTTAGCTCAGCTCGTCGTTCTCATCTGATCGGTATAATTTTTGGCAGGTTTCTCTACTCTCCTTCTGGTAGTTACATGAGAGTACTTTTGACCAAAGTTAGTATACCATTTCATGCTCATGAAGGGTATAAAAATGTGAAGACTTCAACCTTTCCTAAAGGTAATTTCCCTACGCAGCAAATGGAACTGATTGCTTTAATTTTTTTTATATTTTTATTTACTTTCAAAAAATTTCAATTTTTAGAACAGATAAACGCACTAACCTACCACAAATGCATGGAACCGAAAAAAAAACTAATTATGAAATAACTCAATATGAAGTTGGGGGACTTACTTTTTTTTTTATTTGTTTTATAATATTTTCATTTAAAAAATGTATGCTCAATTCAATGGAAATTATAATTTTTAAATTATATGTAATTTATTGGCTTACCTTGTTGAAAATAATTAGCTTTCCGCACATACACACAAACCAATGCCATCAGTTGAAGTTGCGACAAACGTTGACGCGTCGACTGAGGCAGCGGCAATAGGTCACGTAAATTCGCAATTTCAGCATTAATTAAATCCCGGCGCAATTTCGAGGCACCCTTCGTAGATTTATTGGCGTCAAATCTGTAATAAAGAATGCATGTAACACATTAAATTTAGTATAAATTGTTAAAATTAAAAATGTGAAAAATGTAAATGTTATTGAAACGAAATAAAAATGTTAATGTTGAAGCAGCACAAACTCATCAACTTGATGTTAATTTTAAAATGGCTGCCTGCTATGATATCAACAGCACACTTCAATTTTAAGGTTTAACATTAACTGTTAGCATTTAACATTAACTGTTAGCGTTTAACATTAACTGTTAGCGTATAACATTAACTGTTACCTATTTAACATTAACGACAGCATTTCGCTTCGGTTAAAAACGAAACGAATTTTATTTTATTAACTGCTTTAACGATAGCATTTCCAAATGTTTTCACCAAATATATAGACATTTTTTTACTGCAGTGAAATTTATCGTTAAATAATTCTACTGTAAACTAAATAAATAAATGTCGTCCGACAATTTCCGACATTCTAGACTATAATAAAAACTAGCTTAATATGTACTATGTATGGCAGCGTGCTCGCAACTACTTTGGTGATAATCGGAGATTAATATCTTTAATGCGTTAAATGCGCGTCTCTTCATATGTACGTTTGCATGTGTGTACCTATGTAAGATGGCAAAGTCTTCGTTAATGGTTCCTGCTGTAAAAGCTGCCCGCATCGCTGTTAAGATGTTATCATTGCTGTTAATTTGGGTTGTTGCTGCCATTTTTTTTTGTTTGTACTCTGAGGCTGCTAATTAACACGAATAACGTTTAAGTAGGAAATGTGCGAAAAGAAAAGTGGACAGCGGACAGAGGACAGTGGTAAATCCTATCGTTAGTCTGCTTAATGCAATACATATATATATGCGGCCATTCCATATTAAACGTAACAGGCTTCCGTACGATGGTTTTCAATTTGGTTGAAATTCAGCAGCTGTGTAGGTTTTATGCTAAAATCGAGAGGAATCGACGTTAAACAAATTAAAATCTTTTTTCCCTAGAATTTAGAAGCTTGTCTAAAACTGAGATATTGTTAAAATTGTTCCTATGAAATAAGTCATACGTTGGCTGATTGTTAACCAACTTAGTAAAATTTGGTATCGCCGGAAGGATAATGCTTTAAGGCACTGTAGCATTGGATTACAAAATTTTCGTACTAATTATTTTCTTAAAAGTTCTTATTCCAAAAATGCTTGCTCTCTACATCAGCTTGTCGTCATAGAACGCCAAAATATGCAGCTCTTAAGACCTGCGTATGGTTTCAAACTGTCTGAAAAATTTTGTCTAACACCATATTTCTCTACAGTCGTTTATGAGATGAGTTGAGTTGATATGGCAGGCGGCTTGTGGCCAGCAAGCTTAAATCTTTCAGCTATCGTGATACCACTGTGGCCTTATAACGGCTTCTCAAAGACGTTTGGGGTGTTGTCACCGCTGAAACAATTTTCAGCCGACATTCTCTTTCAGTTTGTGATCTTAAATGGATGGCCTACAGTTTGTAACAAGCCACCTCCGAACGGCTCATCGATTTGTATCAAAAGAGCTCTTAATTCATATTAAAAATACACTCGGAGGACTTGACTGTCCCTGACAAAGGAATGACTGCAATTATACAAATTATTTTGGATTTTGATATTTCCAGTGGTTAGCTCAGCCGGTTAATAGAAATAGTGTTTGACAAGAGAGTTGTGGCACGTGGCTGGACAATGAGAGAGGTAATACTCTATGGATTCTTTCTTCTCCAAGCTCATGCTGGAGCGCACTTAACGATCTTTTGCCGTGAGCTCCCATTAAAAAATGTTTTGTTTTTCTAACAGACCTTATGCTAATGGAAAATCGCTTCAGCAGCTTGCTAGCCATATTTGCTTTGTCAGGTTAGTGTGATTTCAATACATCATCTGATATTTGCCACAGGTCTGATGGCAGCCACTCGGCTGGCAGAGCATACAGTAATAGATTGGTTAGTGATCGGAGGTTTAACCGTTTTTGACCCTTGGTAAATGTGGATTTTCTTCATTGATATCAAATATTCGAATTTTCCAATTGCCACCTCTGAGGGATCTCTGTGGAAAAGTAATTATTAAAACAGAATTTAGAGATCGTGTGGTGTCCAGGAATTTATATGGAGTATAGTATTCATTTGCGACTTATACCTTGTTTCCTCCAAGACTGAAAGTTGATACCTCACACTGCTCAGGACAGCGCTGTTGCAGAGAAAATAAATTTCCTTCTGCAGCTCATGCCATTCTATTAGATAGAGGTCTGTTAGAACGACGGTTCTGACCAGGTATTCCACTCGTATCAAAGTGATGAGGAAACCACGTGGGATATAGTCAGAAAGAGAAAGGGAGGGGGAGAGAGAAAAAGAGAGAGGGAGAGAGAGTGAAATATGGAGAGAGGGGGAAAGAGAGGGAGTGAGAGGGAGGGAGAAAGGGAGTGGGAGTAAGTCTTAGAGAGAGAGTGAGAGAGAGAAAAAGAGAGAAGCTTTGAGTTAGATGGGGAAAGAGAGAGAGAAAGAGCAACCCTCCAGAAATTTTGTATAAAAAAGACACCTGATACGACGCCTTACCTCCTTCACACAGCGAAAAGCCTTATTTTCAATCTAGAAGTTTAATTTTAATTTGCAAAATTTTTCCAACCGGGCTGGTCATTCATTTTCCTAACCTCTTAGCGACTACGTTTGGTAGATCTTAATCAAAATTGTACATTGATGCTGACCGTATGCTACACATCAGACGAAACAGCAGCAGTCGCCACAGCAGCCCAACGTTGATCATCATCGCTAGTTCATCATCAGCTGACTTGCTTGCTCGATGGGTAGATTAAAAATGAAAAAAAAAAAAAACAACAACTGAGTGCAGATATAGCGCTGTCTGTGTGTGTGTGTGTGCGTGTGTGTGACCAAGTCAACAACAGCTTTGTCCAGCAAATTTCACTTTAGCAACTCTCTTGCTAGCATAAACACATAGTTGCTGTCTTTGTTGTTGTTTTTAACATTTGCTGCATTTTAGTGGTTACTCATCTGCCACTTCATTGCCCATTGTGCGCATACATACATACAAACTTTTGCCTTTATCAATTCCTGTGTAAACTTGTAGGTGTGTGCGTGCATAGGGCGATTTGGCGATTACTGTTGCACTTAGAATTCTTGGAACTTGCAATTCAATCTTCAAGTGAAAATCTACACTTGGCGTTGAAATGGAATATCCCTGCGCTCCGCAACACCCACAAGGCAGAGCACTGCAGTTTGCTGTACCTTCTAACTTCACACAGATATTTATATATATATATACATGCATATAAACATACATACAAAAGTACTGGTTGGCGCTAGCGCGTTTATCTATTTGCTTATCCTGTGTACATACATACACACGTATATTTTTGGACGTTGCAACCAACAAAAACTAGCACTGTTAATGCATTTATCATACAAACATGCATAAAGGGTGATTTTTTTAGCTCTTATCTTTTTAGAAACACTGGTTTAAGCAGCTGACGCGCGTTTCGTGTTATGCATCACTGTCAAACATCTTCAGTTTGGCCTATAATTAACCATGAATCGTCTTACGAACGAACAACACTCGCAAATTATTGAATTTTATAATCAAAATGCGGGCTCTGTTAAGACAAAAAAAGTTTTTGTACAGCGAGGAAGCTCATTTTTGGCTTAATTGGTGCGTAAATCAGCAGAATTGTCCGCTTTGGAGTGAAGATCAGCCAGAAGCATTGCAAGCGCTACTAATGCATCCAGAAAAGGTCACAGTTGGGTGCGTTTCATGGACTGGTGGTATCATTGGGCGGTACTTCTACAAAGATGATGCGAGTCGTGACGTAACTGTGAATGGTGAGCACTACCGTGAGATGATAACAAACTTTTTTTTTTGCTCAAAATGAAAGAGCTGGACTTGCATGACATGTGGTCTCAACAAGACGGTGCCACATGCCACACAGCACGCCTCACAATGGACTCATTGTGAGGCGTATTCAGTGTACATTTGATTTCAAGTTCGGGACCGGTCAATTGGCCGCCTAGATCGCGTGATTTAACGCCTTTAGACTATTTTTAGTGGATCTATGCTAAATCTTATGTCCACACAGCCATGTCCGCTTCAATTGACACATTGAAGAACAACATTGAAGCATTTATGCGTGAGATACCGGCCGAAATGTTGGAAAGAGTATGCCAAAATTGTACTAAGCGGATGGACCATTTGAGCCGCAGTCACTGTCAACGTTTGCCTAAAATAATTTTCAAAAACTAAATTATATGGACCGTGCTATCGATTCAAATAAAGACTTCATGCATTTTTCTGAATTTTATGTGTGTTTTTTTTTGAAAAACTTTTCTATAGCTCTTAAAAAATCACCCTTTATGAACATGCACTAGCTGCTTACTTGAATTTGTTTTTTTATTTTTTTTTAATTTTTTTTTGTCTATTTTTTTCTTCGTTTATTTGTTTAAACTTCATGCATTTAGTATTTTTTTTTTTTTTTTTTTGTTTTGTTTTGTTTTTCTTATTGTAATTGTTTCTTATTTATTTTACTCCTGCTCACCGTTGGCTGTGGTGCATCGCACAATGTTTGCGATTTGTCAATTCGACAACTACAATTGTTGTACTTCGCAAATTTGCGCATTTACGATTTTTAATGTGTCCGAAGTTAATTTCTCATTTGTCTTTCTTGTTTATTTGAGAGAGGAAATTGCCAACGCAAATATGTAAATTAGCTAAAGTTAATGGGTTTCGTTAATTTGGCAAGAGTGCTTTGTAAATTGACGCTAACGGCATATGTATATACGAGGTCGGCTATAAAAACCGTGTATGAGAAGAATTTTCAATTTTCAATTGTCCAAAAGAAATTTTTATTTTGCTCTTGGTCTCTTGCTTGGGTGGCACACCTTGCCACTGGTTGTAGTTTCGTATATAGAGTGACGACCACTGGGCCCCTTCTTGTATGTTTCTAACTGTTTAAATTTTCCCTGACCCTCCACAAGTCATATTTCAAGCACAAATTAGTCCAGCCAATTG